GCCCGCCCGCCCGCAGACAGCGCCAGGCCCGACTGACAGCCTGGGGAGAAGGAGGCAGCCTGCTCTCGCCACCCCAGGTCTTCTGGGTTGACCGCTTCGCAGCTGGCTTTTCCTCTCCCCAGAGCAGAGTCAGGGTCGAGCATTCAGCGGCCGGAGCCGTTCAGAGTGGTGTCGCCAGAGCAGGATTTTGGGGCAGAGATCCAGAAGAACAGAAGATCTGGCTTACCAGATTTTGAATGAAGCCATATGCACTGAGAAACCTTTTCCCCACCCCAACCTGTATATCGCTACTGGAGTAAAGTGACTTGTTATTAAACGTGCTATTAACCCTAGTTTGTTAGTCTTACTAGCGCCCACCTGAAATTTGCCCCTGGTGTGTACAGTTTTCTGCCCTATAGTTCAGTGTGTTGCTAAACATAATCTACGACAAAGGAGTACACTTTCAAGCAACTGATGAACATGACAAAATCCATAAAAACAAAGCCTAGACACTGTGCCAGAAGCAGTCAAGATTTAATAAAAACATGCTAAAATATTACATATACTCTATCAAGATAGTTAAGCTTTAAGTTTAAGATCATATAAATCCTAGTTTTCTAGAGAAGCCATGCCGATTCTGGTGCCCTCCAGGTGCACCAGACTTGAACTCCCAAGAATTCCCCACCCATCATACCTGGAGAGGATCCTGTTGTGGAAGCCTGTTCAAAAGTATCGAGGAGTTCTGTCTTTCTGAAATGCACAATTGGCCAGCCAGACAACTTAAGCTTCCGAGCTCTTCTGTGGACCCAAAAATATCAGAAAGAGGCGAATCAGAGAAATGCAGGCTGAATAAGACCAACCAATGGACCTGCCTTCTTCCCACCAGTTATCTTGGACTACAACTCCCATACTCAAATGAAAGTACAAGTCATGACAATGGATTTCTTCAAGCATAAAAGATGCTTTGGGGACTATTTAACCTGCCCATGTTACATTTTAGAAACTGAGCACTTGACTCATGACATACATAAAGTTCCATATAATTATTGTTCTGTGTTCTGGGAAATTTTATTTTGGATCCTTGGTGCTAGATTTCATAATGGTTATTGAATGATAATAGACACTCCACACTATATAAAAATTACTACTATTATCTTGTGATTATCATATTAATCCAAACACATACCTGTGCCAAAGAGCCTATAAAAACATTTAATATGGAAGCCTTGCAGAGTTAACAACTGCATGTTGATGGAT